TACGAAACAATAACGGAACAATTACGAAACAATAACGAATCGATTCGTTAATGGCTGACGCGACCGCGAAATACGCTAAAAAACCTCCAAATGGGACAGGGGGAACTTCTGAAGCTTCCCTCTCCCTCTGTTGTTGACTGTTGGTGTGATATTATAATTTTTTTTCACTAATTAAACAAAAAACAACTATAAAACTTGCCCCAGACATGCGGAAATAATAACGAAACGACTTCAAAACGATAACGAAATGAATACATAACGATAACGAAACAATTACGAAACGAATTTAAAAATTCGTTTCGTTTTTAAGTTGCTCCAGAATGGTTCGTTATCGCTTCGTTATAAAAAAAAATAACGAATTTTTAACGAATTACGAATTAACAAAACGAAACCGCCCAGCCCTAGTATTTTGCACAAGTAGCATTTGAACTACGCAATATATATTATGTATCACTACCGAACTTTGAAATCCACACTCACGTTGAGGAGATGTTTCCTGAATGACTTACCTAAATATCAGTCAATACATATGATTGTAAACCAAGGATGGGCCAATGGCATGGAATGAAAGACCCCACAGGACTTTGGAAGGCTGTACAAAACCACAAAACCTCCAACTGTCCTGCTTTGTCAGGGACAATCCCAGTTAATCCTCTGTCATCCCACTTTTTCAGATGCTTGTCTTACTTCCATTTATGCAAACTGAATTTAAAATGTAGCCATAACTTGCACTCACTTAACTCAGCATATAGAGAAAAGTGCAGTTGGTGGAATCTTTTTTTTCTGAGTAGGCCCAAGCAAAAGCATACTGCTGCTGCCTCTCCTATCCTGTTGGTTTGCCCTCATAATTTATTGTCATCTTGATCACACTTTGATGTTCCTTGCCTACACAAATCCTGATTTTTATCTGTAAAATGTTGGGGAATACTACACCATCCCCACTTTTTAAAAACTCTTTGTAATTTTATAATTTTAAAACACTCTCTACCAGTGATATTTTAGGTCCAAACCCCCTTTTTTTCAAATAGAAAGCAAGCCAAGCCAGAATCAGCTTTCTTTTTACTTGAGCCCAGAGAAGGCCAAAGCCATGGTACAGTTTAGGGGCAGTGAGGTGGTGAACTTTAGGGTTCTAGAATACGGTCTTGTGAGCAATCTGCAGATTTCTTAGTGAAAGCAGATCTGGCCACAGTGGTTCATGTCTTAGTTACCTCCCAATTTGACAACTATAATGAACTCTATGTATGGCTGCCCTTGAAAAGAGTTTGAAAGCTACAGCCAGTGCAAAATTCAGCAGCCAGATTGATGTTAGGTATGGATTTTAAATAACATATAATGCCAGAGCTTCAAAAACTACACTGGTTTCCAATGTGATTCTAAGCTTAATTCAAGTTCCTAGCATTGACTTTCTACTCAATCATACATGCCGCCACAGTAGGCCTGTCTCGCCACATCACAGAGGATCTCATGTAGGGAGCATAGGGACCCAGGCATGTAGCCGGGGGGGGGGGGGGGGGCATCAGCCCCTCCCCGAAATTCTCATGGTGGTCCGCGAGAAGACCTTACTGGTACATTATTTCAACTGTTATGTTTATTCATATCATGATCTGATCACCATGCTCAATATATTCCATGTGCATGGGGGTATTGGGGTAACGATATAAAAGGTTTGCTAGGGTAGACCCTCTTTCTCTCAGACTCAGCCCCCCCCCCCCCCCCCCCCCCCCAGGAATAAAAATCCTGGCTATGGACCTGTAGGGACCTGTTGCTCTACATCTCACTTGGTTGCGGTTTTCCCCCTGCCTCATCACATTGGGGGGGGGGAGCATATTTATGGCAGTTCAACTCATCTTTCCAATTTTGTGGTGGCAGTAGGGTGTTTGTGCTACTTCAGTCATGGAGCCATCTCAGAAGTAGTTATCTGGGGTCTCTGGGGTGTGATGGGCTCTTCGGGCTCTGTGGCTGAAGTAGAAAACCCCTGTTGCACCACCAACAATAAAAAAGGTAAGTGTGAAGAGGTCCTGTAAAGCTCTAAACAACTTGGGGTCAAGATACCTGAAAGACGGCCTCCTCTCATATGAATCTTCCAGAAATTTGAGCTGTTCAGAAGAGACCCTGTTGTATATCTCAACACTTTGTGAACTTAGTTTGGTTGAGTATTTGTAGCAGGCTTTTCTCTGTAGTAGCACCTCCACTATGGAACTGCCTACACAAGGAAGTTAGGTGATTCCACAATAGAGGAACTGCTTAAATTCAAATTTCTAGTGGACAACCAAACCAGTGCTGTTTTGCATCACATTCAGTGTTTGAAATTCCCAGTTTAACTCTATTAAAACTGGGTTCTAGGATTGTTTTTAAACTGGTTTTATGAGTTGTTTTAAAAAGAACACAACTGCCTTAGATATCTACTAGGAGATGGTTCCAAGAAACAGGTCCATAGCCAGGATTTTTGGTGGGGGGGGGGGGGGGGGCTGAGTCTGAGTGAAAGAGGGTCTACCCTAGCAAACCTTTTATATCGTTACCCCAATACCCCCATGCATATGGGATATATTGAGCATGGTGATCAGATCATGATATGAATAAACATAACAGTTTAAATAATGTACCAGTAAGGCCTTCTCGCGGACCACCATGAGAATTTCGGGGAGGGGCTGAAGCCCCCCCCCCCCCCCCCCCCCCCGGCTACATGCCTGGGTCCCTATGCTCCCTACATGAGATCCTCTGTGATGTGGCCCACGTCTCAGTATATACCATGGCATAGTAAAACAGTGTCTCTTATGTAAAAAGGAAACACCAAGGGTGGTTTTTTTTTTATGTTTTCAAGCCATGTGTAGCTGAAACATGGAGGCAGAATTCTTGGATATGGAGAGTCAATATTTTAATTTGCTTTAAACAGATTTTTTTTTAAAAAAATCTATTGTTTTAATTGTTCCTTATTTGTTAATTGTTTGGAAAACTCTTGTGGTTTGGCAGTTGATAAGAGCACACTTTAAATAATAGAAGAAATAATTATAAATGTTAGCATTTTTGGTTAGATGTTCTTCATCCAGAGTATTTACTTCAAGATAAACCATTTCAGTAACATTACTTGTCCTTGTCCTGCATTCTTCTTATTTTGATCAGATTCCAAAACTTCAGGCATATGAACCAATGGATCATAGTGGAGGCCACTGGCAGAAAGGTTTCATGTCTCTTTGTTGACATATATTTCATTGCTTGTCATCTGAGTACATACTCAAAGGATAGTTTTCTATTTTAAGGTTAGCTTTATGTGGTGTAACTCTCTTATTGTTTACCATTGAAGACATTTATCTCTTTTATTACAAGTTTGTGTATGATCTTGAACTTTTTTTAAGAATAAAAGCCAATTCCTGAAACTTTAATCTTGGTGAATTCATCATAGTGGATGGTCTATAATATCCGTCATAGTGGATATTAAGAAGATAAGAAGATCCCTGCTGGACAAGGCCAAAGGTTTATTGATTCCAATATTCTGTTCCCATAGTGAGCACTAAAAAGCACATGGAAGACTCACAAGGGCAGCATGAGTGCAATAGTACCCTAATGCCCAAATTTCCCAGAATTGATAATGAGAAAGGCATACAGTCTCTGTACAGAATATGTATCCATCTTGCTTATTGCCTGTTGAATAGTCTCATCCTTTTTCAATAGGGTTGCTTTTTGAGAGCTGTCCCAGGCACTGTGACTTCTGGACAAAATCTGAGATGTACCACCTCATCACACAGGACTAAATTCGGTGGCACCAGTTTAGCCCCGGTGATCCACTGAGCCGGCCAGCTCCCATCACATGATGCTGCACCGGCTTCGTGGGTGAAAGAGGGCAGAGCTAGTGCATGCTGCTGACATGGAAACACAGGGGAGCTCCTGTGTTGTCCTTGCAATGCATGGGGGGAAGCCGCATGCACTATGCTTCCCCTCATTTGATCGCCCTTTGCTGGAACCAGGCATTGCAGGGCGTGGGGCACTGTATTATCCATGCCCCTCTATGAAGCAGAGTGATCTCAGTAGCTGTCTAGCGAGGTCATTAGTCTCTGGTGATATCATTGAGAATGATGCAATAAGTACCAGTCACAGTTGCTCATAGCTTGTCATTCAGACACATACTTAGAGAGAAGGGGGGGGGGGCAGAGAGGGAAAGACTTCAGTTTGGAAGAGAGAAATATTACATAATAAACCATTCCCAGATCAAGGTGATATGAAACTCTTCTTTTCCACTAACGAGAGAAACAGGCAAGGATCACTTGATATAGCCTCCTTACTCATAGTCTGAAACAGTAGAGTGGAGGTTGACTTCTGGCACCACAATAACTAGGGTAGAAGCAACAGTGGCAGCTCGAATAGTATATGCTAGATATTGGAAAACCCCAGAGATACCTCCTTTAGAATAATGGGAAACATTTATTATAGATTTGCTGATAATGGACAAAATAACTGTATTGTTAAGAGGAGAACTATTAGATAACTTTGTTAATGAATGGCAACCAATGATTCAACACCTTAATGTAAAATTAAACTACAAATGTATATTGCAATGTCTAAAAATGTCTAAGATTGTCAACAAGGAAGAAGTGGATGTAAAGTAAGAGTCTATGATATTTTTATGTTTTATTTAGATAGTAGACTGTGACCCCTTAATGGAAATATATTATCAGATAAATGATTATGGAACATTAATAGATAGAAAGTATTGCACTGTATGCAACAAACACTTGCAAATGTATGTCTACTTAAATAAAATAAAAGTAAAAAATAACTAGGGTGGAAGGAAGACATCAACTAATAATGCAAATGAATTTCCTTGGAGTTGTAGCAGCAAATGAATGAAGTTAAATAAATTATATGTGAGATGCAAATCTACTAGCTGAGTTGGAGATTTGGAGGCGGTCCTTTCCTCTTGAATATAGCTGAAGCCACCAAATCTGGAGAATTTGTGCCACTTGTACTTATATTCTCACTGCCTACGTGCATATATTCTTTTTCAGGTATTCAGGGCAATGAATATACCACAGATTAGAAATCCGTCTTTGCCTGAAGAGATGCCAGAAGCCTACCATGCCAAGATAGCTCTTCTTGGAGCAGGACCTGCAAGTATTAGCTGTGCCACCTTTTTGGCCCGGTTAGGCTACTCAGATATCACCATTTTTGAAAAAGAAAATTATGTTGGCGGTTTAAGGTAATCCTCTTCAAGTTCCTAAACTTCTAGTCATAAAAGATACATTGTGATTCTGTTCATAACTGGGTCAATTCAAATACATGTAAGAAAATATAATCCATGTCTTGTCTCTCACTGCTAAGTTTTTTAACCCTCTGTCTACACTGACCATCTTCAAGAAGATCTTAAGCATCACTCATGCCTATGACCTTAACTCCCATTACTTTCTTCCCATTACATGATCTTTTTTGCCATCTTCAAAAGCTAGTATGATGTCCTTTGCACCTTTTTCTCAGCTCAATAAAAGTACAAGCAAATCTTTTAGTTTTGTTTTAAAACTGAAAATAGGTGGATACTTTTTTTAACATTAATTGAATTATCGCTTGATGCTTGCTTTTTAAATATGTTTTCATACTAGATTTTGTGTAATTTTGCAAAGTTCAAAACATTAAGTTAAATAAAAGTATAAATAGAAAAGGATCCAATTTTAAAACTCAAAAATAAATTATGAGGAAGAGGCACAAAATGTTTGGCAGTTGTACAGTTGGCACCTGCTGTTCTTACCTCTGTATTGAATTATTTCTGTGCCACCTGCTCCAGATAACCAGTTACTATAAAACATTTCCTCTGTCATATGTTTGGAGTGAGGCGATGGGGCTTCAGCCCCGGTTTGACAGTGGCAGTAATGGTTAATTTTCTGACATCCCTTTTTCAGCTGCTTTAAGGTTTCTTACTCTTCCACCCACTTCGCTGAAAACTAAGTTCAAAGTGTGAAATTGGTTTGTGCTCAATTTTCTTGACAGATGGAGAGAAAAGAGGGGGTGGAATCTTGACTTTCCAAGTAGGATTAGGCAAAAGTAAATTGCTGAAGTCTCTCCTAGTCTGCCTGTTCATCCCCATTATTTTATTTATTTATTTAGAACTTTTGTATCCTATTCTTCTCTACCTCCATAACGGCTAACAGCAAAATTCAATGTTATACAATAAATATTATCATAAAACAACATACAATAAATAAGTTCTAAAATATATATAAAAACAATTCATCACATTAAAACAACACCCAACTCAATCCAAAATGTCGTGGCCAAATAACTCTTTGTCTATATTGAATCATCTGTCAATCTGCAAATGCCTGACTCCATAGCCAGGATTTTAGTTGCTTCCTGAATGACAGGAGAGAGGGAGCAGACTTAATATTGCCAGGGAGAGAGTTCCATAGCCAGGAGGCCACCACAGAGAAGGCCCTGTCTCTCATCCCCACCAAAAACATGCCTGTGAAGGTGATGGGACTGAGAGCAGGGGCTCTCCGGAATATCTTAAAGTCCTTGATGGTTAATAATGTTGTCATCTTGACCACACTGTAATGTTTTCATCTGGGGAATGCTGGAGGATATAGAATGGAGACCTCTTTGGTAAGCAATCCAAAGATATATCTAACTAAAGAAAGAATATAAAAGAGGGTAAGAAGGAATCTTCATTAAATATATACTGTAGAAACATGAAATTAGAAGAGCAGGTGGTGTTTGTGTGTGAAGAAAATGTGTTTGCAGTCTTTTCCCCAGATTATCAGAATTGGACATGGAAAATACTTCTTAATAAATAGGTTGAAAAGGAGTAGATGAGCATTCCTTTCATGATAGAGGCTATTGGTCAAACCTTGAAGGGTCTGCCCTTTTAAATACTGCATTGTTGGGATTATATTCCATAATTAGTATTCTGGAAATATAGTGAATGTTGAGTCATCATTAGTCATCTCATAATATTTTTTACTATAGATAAAAATAATATTTGAAAATATCTTTAGAAAATGGTTGAAAAACATGTTGAGAAACTGTGACAAGAGGAATCTTAGACTGATGTGAATATTTGCAGTTCAGGACTTATTATATGAAAAAAATTCATGTAGTTGTGTTCTGCAAAAACTAGTGATTTCTATCCAGAAAACAATCCTTCCTGCATGTAAGATAATATGTCTACCTAGAGATATTAATTCATGTGGAAAAAATGCAGTTTTCTAGGCAAATCAATCATGTTTGCATTTCACACAATATTTTCTGCACATGAATTAATATATTTACATTGAAATATTATTTCACAGCTGTTTTCTGTACAGAAAATACTGATTTCTGCTCAAAACAACCCCATTCAAATTTTGTGCAGAATAGTCCTGACTTGCCTTTAAAAATTGCATTTTCATTTTTTTTACAACAAAATAACGTTTCTGAAATTATTCATATAGAATATGCTTAGTAAAAAAACTTATTTAATTTGACTAAGCAATACAGGATGAAAGAGTTTAGTTACCTAATCATGTATTTATTTTCCTTGTATTTTTAAAATTGGCTTTAAACATTTGTTTCTGAAATTTACTTGCAAAATATGCATTTCTGTCTGTTTAATGAATGTATGTCCCGGCACTGAATGTTTGCAGTTTGTATGTTGTCCTCCGCCCTGAGTCCCCTTTGGGGTGAAAAGGGCGGAATATAAATGTTTTAAGTAAATAAATAAATAAATAAATAAATGTGCTGAATTGAGATGTTCCTACATGAATTTTGGTATAGTCTTTGAGCTAAGAAGTATCACAAATTGGAAGAAGCCCAATCATGTTGCTGTACTTCAGAATATAGACTGAAGAACACTATTTAATATTCCTAGCTGAATGGTCACTAAGATAGTGAAGTAGTCCACACAGTATTGCATTTGAAAAAAAATGTGTTATATTGTAGCATGAAAGCTCACAGTACAATGAAAACCAGTTAGCCTTAAAGTGTTGCCATATCCTCCCCCCCCCCTTTTTTTTTTTTTGGTGTACACAAAAGCTTCCCTGTTGTGAAGATGTACTTCATATTTTCTTTTTGGGGATTTTTAACTTCAGTTTGCCCTTTAAAAGAAGTTTATTATTCTGGAATACCCTCTCCTTTATAAAAAGCAGCTGGTGAATGTTCATGGCTTCTTTTTTATTTGTTCTCTCTAGTACATCTGAAATCCCCCAGTTCCGGCTCCCGTATGATGTAGTGCATTTTGAAACCAAGCTTATGAAAGACCTCGGAGTGAAGGTAATGAAAAATATAAAGTGCCTTGCTATACCTCACAGAAAAAGGAGTCGGAGCTCTGCCAAAGATTAACAGCAAAATGTCATGCACATTAGTAAAGAACAATTAAAAGCTACACCAGGCTGAAGGAGGAAGATTCTTTCTCTTGCTCAGGGCATTTGTCTGTCTGCTGTCTGAATGCCGCTAGTTTGGAAAAGGGCAATCAATAGTTCTCATCTGGCTTGCCTGCATGTGATTAATTGTCTGTAAGAAACAAATACCTAAATGGCTTTAGGGATTCAGTGTAGCTATTGGAAGGTTTGTCTTTAATCACATAGCATTGTTACTGGTTTTTTTCTCATTTTATGCAAGTTAAGTATTAGGTGTGTGTGTGTGTGTGTGTATACACGCACAAACACACACACACATACACACACACATACAGACACACAACACACATATATATCTTGTCTTAGTTTTTTTTATACAAAACAATCCCACATACAAGTCTTCCACTTTAGATATGTTGGAAATAGGAATTTGATAACTAAGTGGGCCTTAATTTCTTTTATTAAAGAAATATCAATGATTCTAAAATTTTCTTGAAAATGCAGTAGCTTTGTCTTTTTACAATTTCTTCTTTTGTAAATAATGTCTACTAATCATACATTCATATGATGACTTCTACTGAGGTCCTCCTGGAATAATAAACATACTGAACAAAACTTAGGATGACAGGATTTTAAATTTGATTAAAGGAAGGTGCATTGCTCCTAATATCTCTTAGTTTAGATGGTGTTCTCTTGATCCCTCAATAAACACAGATGAAAAATCCTGTTCAGATTCTTCCATTTCCACCACAAAAAATTCTTCCCGCTGTTAGAGAAATCGCAGTGCTGGGGGATGAAAAATACAATATGGTTTGATAATGCTCTAGAAGTTGCTTACGTCCAAAGATCTTTTTCTTACAGTAATGTAAACTAGGCCTAAATTGCAGGATTAGGCCTCAAAAGTATCAAATCCCTTCCACCCCATATATATGAATAGAATAGAATAACTTTATCATCATTGTACGTCGTTTAAATTCTCAGACATGTTAGGTGACATGATCATATCAGTCACGCCAGTCCCTGAGGAATTGTACGTCATACAGTGCCATCCTCAATCACATTATATATGAAGAACTACAAAACAAAACGCCAACCCTTCCACATATGTAATATAATATAATATAATATAATATAATATAATATTATAATATAATATAATATAATATAATATAATATAATATAATATAATATAATACAATATAATATAATACAAAGGTAAAGGTTTTCCTCTGACATTAAGTCCAGTCATGTCTGACTCTGGGGGTTGGTGCTCATCTCAATTTCTAAGCTGAAGAGCCGGCGTTGTCCGTAGACATCTCCTAGGTCATATGGCTGGCATGACTGCATGGAGCGCTATTACCTTCCTGCTGGAGTGAAACTTATTGATCTACTCACATTTGCATGTTTTTGAAATGCTAGGTTGGCAGAAGCTGGAGCTAACAGCAGGAATTCACCCCGCCCTCCCGATTCAAACTGGTGATCTGTCAGTCAACAAGTTCAGCAGCTCAGCAGTTTAACCCACTGTGCCACCGGGGGCTCCAGATAATATAATATAATAATATAATATAATATAATATAATGTTGCAGCTAAACATAAAAAAAACCAAGATTATGGCAACAAGAATGATTGACAACTGGAAAATAGAGGGAGAAAATGTGGAGGCCATGACAGACTTTGTATTTCTAGGTGCAAAGATTACTGCAGATGCAGACTGTGGCCAGGAAATCAGAAGACGCTTCCTTCTTGGGAGGAGAGCAATGTCCAGTCTCGATAAAATAGTAAAGAGTAGAGACATCACACTGGCAACAAAGATCCGCCTAGTCAAAGCCATGGTATTCCCTGTAGTAACCTACGGATGTGAGAGCTGGACCTTAGGGAAGGCTGAGCGAAGGAAGATCGATGCTTTTGAGCTGTGGTGTTGGAGGAAAGTGCTGAGAGTGCCTTGGACTGCGAGAAGATCCAACCAGTCCATCCTCCAAGAAATAAAGCCTGACTGCTCATTGGAGGGAAGGATACTAGAGACAAAGTTGAAGTACTTTGGCCACATCATGAGGAGACAGCAAAGCCTAGAGAAGACAATTATGCTGGGGAAAGTGGAAGGTAAAAGGAAGAGGGGCCGACCAAGGGCAAGATGGATGGATGGCATCCTTGAAGTGACTGGCTTGACCTTGAAGGAGCTGGGGGTGGTGACAGCCGATAGGGAGCTCTGGCGTGGCCTGATCCATGAGGTCACGAAGAGTCAGAGACGACTGAACGAATGAACAACAAATATAATATAATATAATATACATATAATATACATATAATATACAATAGATGTATATTATATGCCATCTTGTCTTCTGCCTATATCATCACTTGAGAGGCCCCAGGCCTGTAGCGGGGGGGTGGGGGGTGGGGGTGGGGTGGGGTTTAGGGGTTCAAACCCCTCCCCCCCGAAATGTTTTTTTTTTAAAAAACCCAGTTTACTCATAATTTTATTTTTAGGGGTTCAACCCCCCCCCCCCCGAAATGTTTCAGATTTTTTTAAAAACCTGGTTTACTCATGAATTTTAACAGGTTAACAAAATCCCCATGCTAAGTCTATGAGATGCAAAAATTTAAGAGTCCCTCCAGAACTCAATACATGACTCCCTTTATATTTATTTATTTATATTTATTTATTATTCGAACTTATATGCCGCCACTCCCCTGGGGCTCGGAGCGGCTTACAAGAACAGGCTAAAATCGAACACAATTTAAAAACAATTTAAAACAATTTAAAAACAGCAATATTAAAAGTCAAAGGCCTGTCGAAACAGATATGTCTTACATGCCCTGCGGAAAGCTGATAAGTCCCGCAAGGCACGGACTTCAGGTGGCAGAGTATTCCAGAGTGATGGTGCCACTGCTGTAAAGGCTCTGCATCTGGTTGCTGTTAGACGCAAGGTCTTGACACTGGGAATTTCCAATAGACCTTGGTCCTCAGAATGGAGGGATCTCTGGGGTTGGTAGGGGGTGAGGCGGTCCCTCAGATACATTCGCCCCAGACCATGCAAGGCCTTAAATATTGATAATTTATTCACACTGTCATTACTTGCAGCAATAGCCGATTGTACAGAAGTTGATTGTAAATGATAAGATTATAACTGTATTGGTGTTTGCACTGGTTGCCCTAATGCTGGAGCGGCCTAGCTGTGAGGAGTGTGTTACCATGGAAACGATGCTGTAGAGAAGTGGGAGGAGCTTAGAGAGGAGAGTTTTGAAAAGCGACAGTTAAAAGTCAGTCAGGGTTTAGGCTCAGAGGAATGAAGAGTCAGGGTTTAGGCTCAGAGGAATGAAGAGTCAGGGCTTAGGCTCAGAGGAATGAAGAGTGAGGGGTTTAGGCTCAGAGGAATGAAGAGTCAGGGTTTAGGCTCAGAGGAATGAAGAGCAAGTGCAACAAGGAAAAGTTACATCTTGCAACCACACGCTGTGTACTTAATAAAATTGTTAACTTTTATTTAAAGATTGCCTCAGCTCCGTCTATTCTGAGTCCAAAGTGCAATTTCTCACAATATTACAACTTACCTCACGTGGTGGCAGAAACGTAGGGAAAAGTAACCAAATAAATCTACATTCTTCTCTCCAGTCACGCTACAGTATATACAGTGTAATTATTACTAAGTTATTACTTTCTTAATAAAGGAGGAGGTGCAATTGAACAGCCTCCCTTCTAACTTGATGGTAAATTTGGTTCCTAATCGGCAACCTCCATTGCAAGTCGGCTAAGTCTTTTTAAAATTGGGAACTGGGGAAAAATCTCCTGAATACTGGTTCCTTTCAAATTGGTGGCAACAATAAATCATCCCCCAGCTCCCCTGCTTCTTTTCAAATTGGTGGCAGACGACGGGATACGATTAACAACTGATTGAGTGCCTTAAGACTACTTTGAGAATAATTTGTGAGGTAAAAGTTATTGAAATATGGCTACCAGATGACAGAAAAAACTTGTTGAGGAAACAATGGGAGACCAAGAAGGAAGTTTGGGCTCTGAAGCAGAAACAGAGCCAGTGTCTGTGTCAGAAATGGCACAGACTAGAGATGAAACGATTGGAAATAGAGGCAAAACAAAGGGAAAGAGAGTTTGAGGAAAGACAAAAAGAGAGAGAACAGGAGATAGAATTGAGGAGAATGGAAATTGAACTGCAAAAGCAAAAAATTAGCCCACCACCCCCCCTCACTTCCTCTGAGGATGCTTGCCATAGATGCAGGCGAAACGTCAGGAGAAATGCCTCTAGAACATGGCCCTATAGCTCGAAAAAACCTACAAGAACCTAGTATTTCCTAAATTTACTAAGGATGACGATATAGAGAAGTTTCTAACCTTGTTTGAGCGATGTTGTAAAGATTTTGGAGTTGCTGAGGAAAAATGGATGACGTACTTAAGGCCTCAAATAAGTGGAAAGCTCTTAGAAATATATGGAGAAATGCCTGAGGAGTCCTATGGGGATTATGATTTATTTAAGAGACAGGTTCAACAGAAATTTCAATTAACACCTGAATTTTACAGATTCAAGTTCAGGACTCTGAAAAGAGATAAGAACCAAAGTTTCGCTCAGGTGGCCTCTAGATTGTCTCAACTGTTCGATAGTTGGCTAAGGACGTCTGAGGTGGAAAATTACCAACAACTGAGAGAACTTTTAAAATTGGAACAATTTTTCCAATTGATACCTTCCGATTTTCGGTGGCTGGTACAGGATCGAAAGCCATCCACTGTAGTAGAGGCAGCGGTTATGGTAGATCAATTAATTACCCTAAAAGAAGGATTCAAAAGGGAAGATCTGCCAAATGATAAAAGGACAAACAGGCAGCCATTTTACCAACATCAAACGCGCCCACAACAAGGAAAAGGTCCTGCAATAGAAAACCCCTCCTGGAGGAGGCAGAGTGTA